ACATATCCTCTGTATATGGAGAAAGTTAGAAAATTGGTTTTCTCACTCAAATCAATTGTGCTAATCTCAAGGATTCACCTTTTAAGAATGGAGTTATTTGTAATCCTTTATTAAGTTTAAATTCCTTCAACAGAAGTTTAGGTTTTTTATAATTTTTCTTAACTTAATACTTTTGGATTTCTACTTCCATAAGTGTTCTGTTTGCAAATTTACTGTTGTTTGAAATCTTAAATTTGTTTTGACTTCTGCAACTTTATATTATTTTTAAAGTAAAAATATAGTTTTAATACCGTAGGAATCAGGTATCAGCCTCTTTTGAAACCTTTAAAAAACATTTCAGAAAAGTGTTGAAATGTCCTTCAAATTTATTTAGATTGTCTGTTTTTTAAAAAATTATGTTGTAGCATAGTTCACTTGAAGTACCAGTATTCAATCACATAATTTAAGTATTATTAATAAAGCTATATTGTTGCTGTTGCACATTTTCATTGATGATTTTTTCTTGCTATTTTGTAATTGTTTTTTTAGCATATCAATTTCTATGAATAATGATTTTTCTTATAGGGACTTAGCGACATGTACTGAACACTGTCTACATTTTGTTACTTGCATTTGCATATTTAATAGAGTTGACTAGATCAAGCCTCCTGCTCAACGTCTCACTCTAAAAAGCAGAAAAAGTTAAGATTAGAGGTTCTTTGCCTGGTAACTACTTAACTGCTGTGTACAGGAACATGTAAGGCACAGACTTTCTGGACCATGCTGCTCTCTGTCCTTACTAACCTGCATTTTTAAAGTATGGTTTTATAAGTCTGTGATGTTTACATTAAAGATGTCAAGACATTTATATTATTAGAAATCAGTTGTGGAATAGTTCAAGTTTTATGGTTTTCAAGACATACATGAACCTGATATATTAAATTGAATTTTTGCATTTAGATTTCAGTGTGTGTTTGCTTTTTTCTTCTTTTAGCCTGGCAGCTTTAAAATTATATGTCACAGCTATCAGAGAAAAGGAGTCTTTTTTTCTTTTTTTTAAGTATATATTTTCTATTGTTGTTCAAGTATAGTTGTCTCCCTTTTCACTCCACCATGGCCATCCCCCCATCCCACCAATCTCACCTCCCACCTTAAAACCTACCCCCTTTGGCTTTATCCATGTGTCTTTGATCAATTCTAATTTTTTTCTTGTTTAAATCATTTTTATTGTTATTCTATTAGATATTGTATTACAGTTGTCCCAGCTTTTCCCCCTTTGCCCTCCTCTACCCATCCCACTGCCTACTCTCATAGTCAATTCCCACACTATTGTCTATGTCCGTGGGTCATCCATACATGTTCTTTGTCTAGTCCTTCCTCCTTCTTTCCACCATTATCTCCCTCTCTCCTTCCCTCTGGTCACTTTCAGTCAATTCCAAGTGCCCATGCCTGTGGTTCTATTTTCAATTAACACACTTTTATAAAAAAATAAGATTATGATCATTTATATTCACCTTTCAGATTATATCAATCAATGGTTGCATTATGTCAAAATTTACCTTGTTCCTAATTTAAAAAAAAACTTATTGAGAAGATTTATTATAGTATTTCAATTTATTGTGGCCAACAAAGAGTAATTAAGAAGGAAATGATGAACTCTTGTGACATGTTTTCCTTTCCAAAGTGTGTGTTTGTGTGTGTTTTGCATTTTGTGCTGTGTAGATATTATGATGTTTTGTAAATAATAGCTAACTTTTTGATATGTGTTTCATAAAATTGTTGAGTAAAATTCAATTTTGTTTTAGCATCACTATAAAAATTTTTCATTGTCTTACTTCATCATTGTTTTCTCTAAACAACAGCCAATGGACTTAATAGAACTAAGGCAGTTCTTAGGAATAGATTTATGGTTACTTTTATTTCAATAGATAATTTTACTACAGGACTTTTATTTTTATTTGCCTCACATTTATTCATACTTCAGCCATTTATTATATACTAAGTATTATAATTGTGTTTCTGTATGCCATATTAACATGATTACCAGATTACTTGGTTGACAGAAAGATTAGTGACATGTTAATACTATGAATCTGAATTAGACTGTCCATGCTTGACTTCTGACCCCAGTTTGGACCTATAAATTCCCAACAATATATCATTGATAAATTATTTATCTTTATTTCAAATCCTTACCTATAAATCAGGAGTTATAAATATAGTTATCTTCTAAGGTTAGTGGTATAAAAAAGTATATTAACAAAGGACATTTAGTAGACATTAAATAACTGTTAGTGATTTCTATCTCTAAATTTCTCCTGAAATGTGTGGCATCCTGAACTGGTATTACATCCACCAAAGCAGCTCCTTTAATTTTATTCATTATAGTTTCAATGCCCATTTTATGAATGATAAGACTTTCTGAGAAATGTGAAAACCTAGATATGTTTTACCTTAGTCCCTTATTTAAATGAAATATCCCTTTCATCATTGGAATCAGAAGACAGTCTTATGAACAACAGTTAGATATTAAGAGAAGAATGTCAGGTCTCGGTGATGCCCTGGAATTTTATTATTTTTGTAACTCTTGAAGGTTACTATTCTATGGGTGTGGTATCAGTCCCTTTACAGCCACTCACTTTATATAAAGAAATAAGGAGTGTCCTAGATATTAGAGGTATCTGTAATTCACCAACATATTTCTTAGCAACCACATCTTATGTAGAAGTCTATCTGGGCATTGAGGGACCTATGTGACATGGACTCCTTGGGGCTGGAAATATAACCTGTGGGGGACTCCATCCCGAAGTGTCCACTGGAGTCACATGTAAAATGAGGCTGTGAATGCAAGATCTACTTGGAGAGAAAAGGCTGGCTAATCTCTCAGAGGAGAAGAACCCTAAGGTCTGTTTTTCTGAGCCTTTTATTGAGAACAAAATGTGCAGGGGTATACAGTATATATACATAGCTTATTGATCAGTTTTAGAGGGCTACAGTTAATGCAAAACAGACGTTTACAGATAACAATAGAAGGAACACAGAGATCAGCCTCAGGTTAGGGTATATTAGATATACTTGTGGGGGAGCTTTGCCCTCATAGCTTCCCACCCAGCATGGATGAAAATAAGTCTAGCAAGACATGATCTGGTTGGGGAGGAAAGGTGGCTGATTGCTCAAAGGAAAAGGGCCTGGAACCTGTTCCTTAAAGGGCTTTTATTGGGTTTAATTTGCATAGGAATATGGGGTGTATATGTAAAGCTCATCAATCATTGTCAGGCAGAAATGATTAAACAATAGATAACATCCAAAGAACTCTGAGGGCTTATTCTGAGTCAGGGTCAGATAGTTAAAGGGCCATAAAACTTTGGGGAACAAACTCACTCCATGCTTGGACTCTTATCATTTAAAATGAGGGACCCTGATCATTTAAATTGAGTTAGCAAAGCAGGTTTCATAGGATTTTATGTATTCTTTCTTAGGCCTGATCATCCCAGGGAACCTGCCCTTTCTAGAACAGAGCCACACCCACCTCCAGCATTGTTTCAGGTTTAAGGCATTGTTTCAGGCTTAAATCAGGCAGGGGAAGTAAGGCAGGCAAGAGATTAGGAGACTTCTGGCAGATAGAATGAGGACTCAGGCTTGTCAAAATTGAAGGTTGAGGGTCCATCACCCCCTTTTTCAATAGCCCTCCAAGTCCTTCCCTGAGGGCCCCTTCATGACCATACCTATCTTAGGTCATCCCTTCTTTGAGGAATGTTACCTATGGTTTACTAACCAGTCATCTGCCTGGGGCCAAACAGGGTGAAGAGAAAGGGGGCAGAGGCAGTGCCCCTACAAGGAAGATAAGCTTTGTCTCCTAAGTGGCTTATGATCCCAAGGTCTTCTATTTAGCCTTAGCCACTGAGGGGTTACAGTTTCTGAAACCAGGCAGGGTGGTTCCCAATACATGCAGATACCAAATGGTCTTTAAGGCAGACCTCAGGAAGGAGTCTTCTTTCCTATCTAGAATTTAAACACCTGGTTATTCATTATCAGGGCTGTAGCAGAGCAAGCTTCAGTGGATACAATGCATTCTTTAGGCCATATTTCCTATGGGAACCCTTGGTGTTAGCATTCTGTCACACCTGCCTCCCAGTATTCCTAGCATTCTGGTGAACACTTACAGGCCCTTATTCAAGCTCTGGCTTGCATGGGGCTGCAATTCCCAATACCAAATAAAGTGGCCCCCAACAATAACTCTAGTCAGTTGACCCCCAGGGTGCTACTTTTTCTCCACTGCATTTAATTAGGAAAATTCTTTTGAGGGTAGTAATCAACTGCATCATTTGCAATTCCTATAACTCATTGCTCCATCTGCTTAACCTGTATAACAGTGGGGAAACAAGGATAGGCATGTAGTGCAGATAGTTTCTTCAAAAGGGGCATTGTTGAATATAAATTTGAGGGTTTATTTCTGGGCTCTCTATTCTGTTCCACTGATCTATGTGTCTATTTTTATGCCAATACTAGGCTGTTTTGATTACTATAGCCTTATAGTACAGTTTGATATTAGGTAGATGATTCACCCACCTTTGTTCTTTCTCACAATCTCTGTTGCTATGTGGGACCTTTCATTAGAGGGTGGAGATATTGAGCAAAAAGGAAAAATGACTTGTGGACATGGACAACAGTGTGGTGACTGGTGGGGGGAGAGGGTGTAGGGGGACTAAAAGGTGATATAAAAATACAATAAAAAACTTAAAAATGGGTGTTGTCTACAATTTGTAATTTCATTTTAAAGACTTGCTTAATATAACATAACTTTTAAATATAACAATTCAAACAGTATGACTCATATTGTATTTTCCTCTTGTTCTCACAGAATTTGCAAATCATATCAGGAATCTTTGTATAATACAGTTTTTATGGACTTTAGCTTTTTGATTTAGGGACTAAAGGGTGATGATTTTGTAGTTGGTCAACACAAGAGTGTAAAATATTGTGAATATCATCAAAGCACTAACATTAATAGATTCATACATTCACTTGGGCAGTACATATACTAAAATTAAAAAAAAATACAGAGATTAGCATTGCCCCTGCATAAAGATGGCATGTGAAAGTAAAAGATTAATTTTGTCTTTTTGGACTATGACGTGCTATCCTTATTATGTATCATTTTTCAGGTTTTGCATGGAGAGGATCTAAGCTTGCACATACTGCAATGAGTGAGGGAAAGCACTACAGACTAGACACAGAGAACAGCAGTCACTCTGCCTACACCTTCAGCCAACCAGCTTCCCAGCCACCTCCCCCTCTCTCTTTTGTCTTCCTTTGTTCATAACCCTTCAGTTTGACCTAAGACCCTCAAGTGTAGCATCCTGGGTCCCTGGTGACTTGAAAGCATTGTTCTGTGACCTAGAAGTGAGACAGAAGGTGACATCAGAGCCAGGTATGAGCTTACAGCTCCAGCCCAGGTTAGTCCCATCAACAGTAAATGACTTGCAGGTGGACAGACTATCTGCATTGACATTTCATCAGAATGACCCTAGGGACAATATGTGCAAACACAACATGATAGAATTAAACAAATACTTAAACTTCCTTTTATCCAGTTTGTCTCCTCCCCTATATTTCTGTTCTCTGGAGAAATGCTTGCAAATAAACAAAATCCATAACTGTTACCAGATTGGTCACCTGGCCCTGATTAGTGCCTAATAGATTAGGTCTGCTAGGGCCACAGAAGCAGGTTTCAGCAAAATATTCACTAGTTTTCCAGGTGTGCTTTTTCAGGGTCATGTTCTCTACTGATTGGTCAGTGCCAGAATCAGAGGTGTCTGTCATTAGGCACTTCAGCTGGCCCTGGAATCACCCACCTGGTTTTGCTGCTTTTCTGCGCCTGGAGCTGAAATACATCTGAGGCCTAGCTGTTATCTCTAGGAAGGTGAGTTACATCTGGCTGTAAATTGCTCATCCAATTTGTTCAGCTATCTGCCTATGTCCCTACTTCACTTGTCCTGGCTTACTGACTTTCTTTCAATAACCATCTAAACAAAAAAATAAATTAACATTGACTATCCTTGTTAACTGAGCTGATCATTTGAGAGCTAATATAATAAATACTATGTAACAGATCAAATATGGGCACTAACTTTCATCAAATTTGATTGCAGAAATAAAAACTTATTTTGGACAGAATTATACCTGCATGCCTTGTATTTATATTAAGTCAAGATTATTGACATAGAAACATAAACTGATACAATGAATACTAAAGGACATATATCTTTTCACATGTCAGGAATGGAAAAGAATTGCATACAAAAGGAAAGAGGAATGTGTCTTATTCCAGATATTTAATGGCTCTGAGCTATACCATAATCAATTATTTTCAGAATGTATTTCTTAAAGGTATTCATATTAAAACATATTTCATTAGTATATATGTACATATGCCACATTTTATATATTATATTTTAAAATTATACATTGTTATATGTACTTATGACAACACTATTTTTATATGTGAAAGGGAATTTATTATTGATATGTATTTTGACGGTTTTACTATTATGTAGAAAAGTGAAAGAGCAAAACCAAAGGTTCCTCAGAATGATCCGGTATGTTAATAGTCCTTTATGGAAACTCACTAGTTAGAATTTTTCCAGACCAATTGCCAATAATATTGCTTTAAATGACATTTATATACCAATAACTGTGAATTCATTCAGAGTTGTCTCTTAATTACAAATGAATGCATTTATTACTTTCTAGATGCCTTTGCATGGATATCTAATAGATTTCCAAACTTAACATGCCCTCCCACAATCCAAATGCCCACCCCAGTTAATGACCATCTTAACTTTCCACTTGCTTGCTTCCAAGACCGTGGGGTCAATTTCAAGTCTCTCTCTCTCATACACTTGCATGCTGTATCAGCAAAAGTATATCCCAAACTACAGCTGTGAACTAGTTAGGTGACCTCATAGTTCAACTGCATTAGTCTAATTGTTTTTCTCCTATTTTTATGCCTAACCATTGCCCCCCACTAGCTTTCAATTTCACTCAAGTAGATTTCAAAGTCTTCAAGGCAAGTACAGGACACTATAAGATCTCTACCATACCACCCTCCTCATGCTTTCCCATCTTCCCTAGTCTTCTGCTACCTGCCCACTAATTCACTGCAATTTCATCATTATGTTTTGGCACACATAAGCCTTGAGTTCTTTAATTTGTTGCCATCCTTCCCAATCATCTAAATGGTTTACTCTTTCACTTCATGCTACTCCTCAAATGGGACCTCCTTAAAGAGCCCTTTTCTGAGCATTCTGTTGGAATGACAAAGGCCCTGGAGACTGGACTCCTGAAAGCTTATAACAGGCTTTATCACCGGATGACATGTTATGATTAAACAATTTTTTTTTGTTTATTCTGTGAACTGTCTCATCCCCAATCAAACAAAATCTCCATGAGGCAGAGATGTTGTCTGTTTTGTTCAGTGATAAGTGTCTACACTAGAACAGTGCCTGGCATATATCAGGCATGCAATACTTTTTTGGTTGACATAAATTGAATACCTACTATAGGCAAAGGGTAAAATGGTTTCTGACATAGTAATGGGGGTATGCTATCTTGAACTCTGCTGGAAATATTTCCACAGTTAAAAGTTACTGTATTTGTAAAAGAAGTAACAAGAACAACAACAAAATAGATAGCATCTGATAGGACTGTGATGATTCTTAGGAGACAAAATCAAAAGCCAAGCCAAAGATTTTATCATTTATATTCATGAGTGGTAATTGAACTTTTGGGACCCAAATCTTCCCCTTTATCTGATAAAATGTTCAAGATTAATTGTATACATTTTATGAACAATTTGCTAGCCAGATACTACTTCCCACTATGATCTGCACTTTTTTATCTCCCTGGGCATAGCACTGATAAAGTATAGCAGGGTATATAAATAAAACTGTACTTTTAGGTGACACGAGTGATTCACTTTATATCTCATGTTGGTCAGAGCCATATAGGTCCATTCTGGCTGACTGATGGCTTTTACTACTTGAGGGATTAGGAAAAAGTTGGATAGATTGCAGTGAAGAGATACTAAAATAACCCCAGCCAGGTAGCTCAGTTGGTTAGAGCATCTCCTTGATGTGCCAGGGTTGCAGGTTCTATTACTGGTCAGACCACATGCATATAAGAATCCACCAATGAATACATAAATAGGTAGAACAAAAATTTGATCTCTATCACTCCCTTCCTCTCTCAAATAAATAAATAAATAAATAAATAAAAAGATAGCTAAAACAGCACCAATGTAGAGAGGTAAAGTAATGTGCTTGATTTGGTTTTATAAATAGAAACTTGAAAGGTATGCTTACAACTGTTCTCAAAGCTATAAAGGGTTACTTTTTAAGAAGTGATGCTCCTAATGTTTTAAATCACATGTCTACAAAAATTAAAAACAAAAACTGTAAACTGCAGTGTGAGACATTCAGTTTTCAAAAAAAGAAGATTGAAGAATAGTTTTCATATACTGAGTACTAAAGGGTAGAAATTAGAATTTCATTCTTTGGAGATATTTAGAAGCAGGATTGTTTCAATTAGCTTTTGAAGGCAGGACTGAATGACCAGCAACACTTCCTACTGTTTATAACCCTATGAATGACCACATGTATAGTGAGAAGTAGTACATTTTTCCCACTGGAAAGCCCTTTTTCCAGAAAACAATAAACTCTTCCAGTAAATTTTTAAGTATGGATTTCAAAGGGTTTTTTTTTTTAGTGTAATGTACTTATCCTCAGAAGTAAAATATTAGAATTGCAATCTGGAAGATGTGACTCATAACTATTAATTAAAACTGTTACTCTCAACAGGTAATTTTGTAAGTCATTCATTTTAATATTATAAGAAATTAAATTTTGTTTTGTGTGTCTCCTTTACTTTTTTCTTTCCAGTAATGCTAATTTATATCAGTAAAGCTCCTGTTTGTTTTAATAATGAAACAAACATCTTAGAGAAAATCCTGATATCAGTCAAAATAATAATGAAAACCACCCTGGCTGGGTGGCTCAGTTGGTTAGAGCTTGTCCCATACACCAAAATGTTGCGGGTTCTATTCCTGGTTAGAGCACAAACCTAGATTACAATTTGTTCATAGATTGTGGTGCGTACTAGAGACAACTGATTGATGTCTCTCTACCCCTCTCTTTCCTTCTCCCTCTCCCTCTAAAAGCAATAAACATATCTTCGGGTGAGGAATAAAAATAAGATAATAATGAAAATTTATTCAAGTATATTAAATAAGAAATGACTACAAATCAATGCCAGGATAAAAGTTTTATTTTGATTATATGATATTGTTTATAAACTTTTAAAAAACAATTATTACGTAAAAAAGCATTCTTCCTTTGAAGGTGAATAGCACTCTTCCATATGAGCTGCTAGTTGTCTTCACTGAAACTCTTTTTTTTTTCTTTTCTAAATCTTGTGGGAAGCTAAATCAAACACATATTAAGCCAAGGAAGGAGCTTAAACTATGCTGGTGGATAGATTTAAACAAGGAGATTGTTATGGATTCTGTAACTGAGGAGGCTGTTGAAAGGACAGGAAGTCCGTTGGGGTCATTATCCCCTACCTAACAGAGTCACAAAAAATAATGTTGGTTTTGCTCTAAGATATCAGTTAATGCATTTGCATCTGAATCACATAAATTCTAGTGCCAAGACAGATGCTCCAAAGGAGAATTTTTGCTCTTTGAAACTATCAGTCTGCTAGTGCTCTGGTGGTCTGTGGGAAGTTATCCCACATCCACCCTGTTTAAGCCACTCACCTCTTTCCCCAAACAGTACTGAACCTAAGAATTTTAATCTTAAAATATTTTATTCTAAATATTAAATATACTTTAATTAAAAATTCAAAAATCTCTGAATATTCAGTATCTTTACTTATTAAGTCATTCTAGACTTTCATGGTCTCAATACAGAATGGATAAGTAGCAAATGTCTGTAAAAGCTTTTTGTAATATATATGATATCAATCAAATAATATATTATTAACAGGAATAACAAATGTCTATAGGGATCAGGGTTATCATATACAAAGCTATTTTGAGCTGGGACAGAATTCTAAATTTCTGTGGACACACACACAAATACAGCACATACAAAAAATTTAGAGAATGGCAAAAGTCAAATGTGCCTAAGTAACATCAGCTTCAGCAAGTATGTTTCCCTTTCATTGTGACTAGTGTTAGTTTTGTTAATAAACTGAGCCTTTCTTACTCTCCTAATGTATATGTCCTACATTCTATACAACAATGCCACACTGTAGTATAAAGGAAGGAGTGTGTGTGTGCATGTACTGAAACATAGAATTCTGAGTCTGATATAACCCAGGCTTTAGTAACACTCAGTATTAGTGATGGCTAATGTTAATTATTAGTGATATTGTTAAACACTTAACATGATGAGCCAGTCCTATTTCTAAGTGATATACATTAAAAGTCATTTAATCTTTACAAGATCCTTGAGGTAAACTACTATGATCCCGTTTTCTTAAATGCCTGCACTATTTCTAAACTGAATGACTTCCAAACTAATGAATTTTAAACCCTAGATGAAACAGTTTCTAAAATGTGGAAGTGACTAATGTATCAAAGATCCATTTCCCTCCTTAGGGAAATGAAGGTGATAGACTAGTTTGATGGATCATTATAAAGATTAATTTAGAGAGTGTATTTGAAAGATATGTTTTATGTTGTTTTTCTAAAGTTTGCTTTATACCCTTTTATATAAGGATTCAGATTTCCTAAGAAGGAGAAACATTGAAGTTCTGTTTTCTCTTTTTCCTGATAAGGCAACTAATATCCAGAAAAATGAATTAATTTGCATGTATAGAGTGTTCGCTTGGATTTATTTTAAATGAAGTCTTAATACCTAAAGTGTATTGTATTTTAATTCAATTATTTATTTAAATTATATTTTTAAAGTTAAAACTTTTACTTTTCAGATGATGGGATTTGCCTGTGAATATATGTCATAATTTACAAATTTAATGATATTCAAAAGAAATATTCTGGCATGCGTAAGGTGACATTTTAATAGAAAAGTGATTTTCCTATCTTAGTATCTGCAATTGGTATAAAAAAATGAAAATATTCAAATTTATGGACATCACTTTCACTTACTTTTGATGTATTCTTATATAGCAAAAATAAAGTGGAAATGATATAATTAATTATATTATTAATTGACTTAATGATGCTACTGTTCTAAATTCTGTATGTCCAAAGCTTCAAAAGGCCAAAACTCAAAACACCAGATTTTGGAGATAGAAAAGGTTGATTGATTGAGAGGGCATTGACAAAGAAGAGGGGAGGTCTATCCTCAAATCCACCCTGAGAAAGTACAGTTTGGGCTTCTTTTATGAAGCTGTGAGTGGGAGGCAAATAAGAGGGAATTTTTTTTTTCTTTAAACTTGTGTCAAAAGCAGAATTTCTCTAACGATTAGCATGACTGTGAAGGATATGGGAACAATACAGGCTTGAAGATGACAGAGTCAGAGACCCAGCATTTCACTCTGTTAAAATGTAACTTAAAAATAAATGTTATTTCCACACATATATTATACTGGTTGAATAATATGTATTCTTTTCATTCTGTGATATACAGAATCAGATTTATAATATTTTGAGTCAAATTCCCAAATTTCTCTTTTGCAATATCTAATGGTGGAAAATATTCCTAAAAATATTTTGTCATATTTCAAAATTTTCACTACATAAAAATATTAAGAATGATATTTTATAAAAATAAAAATAGTATTATTATAATAGGTTATTAAAAATTTCATTTATTTGTACAAGACTTGTACATAAGTCCCTTTAGATACTTGATTAATCACAAAATTCTAATTCAAGATAATTGGCAGGATTTAATTTTGATGGTATGTTTTTTCTTTTCATTTCAATTATTAGGATAATTACAAAAGAATAAAAATAGTTATTTATTGATGAAGACTCCACCCTATGTTTGCTCTCCTTTTTCATAAAAAATCACAATTTTTGTTACTTTTAATTAACTTTATGTATAATGAGAATTTCTTGATTCATGACAAGTTCAATAAAAGAAACAGTAGCAAACATTACAGTAAAAAACAAGTTTAGACAGTTTATGAATTTATATTTAATATAAATATAAAATATGTATCCTTCACCTGCCTTTCTTATCATTTCCATTTTTAATTTCAAAAACACCATTAACTTGAAGGAAATAAGAGTATTAGAGTAGTGATCATGGTATCCAGAAAGGTGAGAAAGAAAGTGACTTGCCATATCAGCAAATATTGGGTTATGTAACTGTAATGTGCAGGAGAGAAGAAATTATGCCTATAGATGCAGAAACTTGCCCTAGGAATAACTCACCAATATTTGGCAAACTTTTCTGCTTTTAGTTTTCTATATTTAAAGTATAATAAAAACTCATGACTACTTATATCAATGTGGTCAATAATTATTCTAAATATATGGTTTACTTTGTTTTTTAAAATAAAAATACACCATGTTTATGCCTGTTGACATCTGGATACTTTAGAAAAGTATATACTTATTAAAAACACATTTGTAATATGTTGTTTCTGTGTAATATTTCTTTGTAAATGTGAGTCATATCCCAGAAATGGCAGTATTTGGTTATTAGTCTGCAGAAAGCATCCAAGATACTTGGAATAAATCTTAAAGACTAGAGAATACTATTGAAGGAGGAGTCATAAATGAGAAAAATGCACAAATGTATGCTTAGCTAGTATTTTATTTCCATCTTTAAATGATACTTTCCAATGTGCAGAAAGTATTCTGGAGCCTATTATTTCTCTTGGGGCCAAACTGATACTCTATTTAATTTTATCTTGACAACTCTGTGAGAAAAAAAGGGAGATTGTATGTTATCCCTTTGTATAGTAAGAAACTTTGCTAGTAAAGTTGAAGCCAGAAATCCTAACTTCTATTTTATGGACATGCTTCAGTGTCAATACAGAGAAGAACTGTGTTAGTCATGAACTTTAAGGCCTAGAATTTTGGCTGCAATGACCTTTTAAATTAAATTTATTGGGGTTACGTTGTTTAATAAAAATATATATGTTTCAGGTATACAATTTTATAATATATCATTTGCATATTGCCTATATGCTCATCACCCAAAGTTTAGTTATCTTCTAAGCAGTGACCATTTTATTGAAGTTTTAGTGATAGAGAGTGTAATCTTTATGACTGGCATCTCCACCATGCATTAATTGACATTGATTTAAGGTATGACAATGTTAGCAATATGAATTGATGTATGCCAGCCTGTATAACTTCAGGTTTTCATCAGGACAGTGACCTGCTGGATCGGCGGAAACACTGTTTCACTGTGCAGTCTGAGACTGGAGAGGACCTCTACTTCTCTGTGGAGTTAGACTGTGACCTCGCCCAATGGGAAAGAGCCTTCCAAACAGCAACCTTTCTGGAAGTGGAAAGGATACAGGTGGGGGTCTGTGGAATGTTAGGGTCTGCAGCTCACACAGGTGCATGTCCACTTGCCTAGAGTTCTCAAATAAATTAAAAATAGTGTGAAAACACAGTTCGCTGAGTGTTGATCTCCTCAAATACATTAGATAATTAGCCATTGTGATTAAATGAATAGTAATGCAGCTTTGAGAAACATTTTATTTTTTTATAATTTGATCTGTCTAGGCTATTTCTTACCATTCATCAAAAGTATAGTGGTAATTTTAATTAGATTCAGCTCCACTTTAAATCTAAATGAAAATATTCTTATTTAATTACTCTTTTACAAGACCATTTCCTGTTCTACCATCATGACCACCTGATTTCAGCTAAATGGCTCCATTCACTCATAATGCTGTTTCTTGCTAGAAAGCCTTCACTTCATTTCTACCCTTCAAAACTACATGTAGACTTTGAAAATTTTTCGTGGATCATAACATCTCTGAAGCTTTTCTTGATTTTCAGTCTACTTTGCCCACTCATCACCACTATTCCACCCACAACAATTCTGTTCAAATTCTGTTTTCAACTTGATAATCTCTCTATTTAATATTTCATTTTAAATCTCTTGATGTTTAGAAATAAGAGAGATGAAATTATGTTGTTTCACTGTATGTCAATACTTTAAAAAATGGATTCATTTATGTAAACCGATATCTTGAGCAATAGCCCATTTATTTGGATTATCACCTTACTTATTCAAAATACCAACTTATGATACACATAGTAACTAAAAACTAAAATGTTTAATGCCTTTTAAGCTTTAGATTTTAAATGTATTTTATAATTTCCCAGTCATAAATTTTCTACAAAAATACAATATTTTATATTGATTACTGTATCAAAAATTAATAGTCAATGACTCAACACTTTGGTAGCATTGTTTTTCAAAATTCTTTTTTTAAATATTTTATTTATTTATTTTTTAGAGAGGGAAGGGAGGGAGAGAGAGAAAGAGAAAGAAACATCAATGTGCGGTTGCTGGGGGTTATGGCCTGCAACCCAGGAATGTACCCTGGCTGGGAATCGAACCTGGGATACTTTGATTCCCAGCCCGCGCTCAATCCACTGAGCTACGCCAGCCAGGGCAATATTCAAAGATATGAACATATTTACATGACAAACATTACAATGTTTCCTTCTATGTTCACAATAGTCCCACTACCATTAAATTTGATTAAGAAATAAAATAAAGGACATATGACCTGTTGTGAAATAAGCAGAAACATGGAAAATTATTGAAATGACTAATGTAGTTAATAAATAAAATTGGTTTTCATTTTGAAATTGATTTTCTTGAATGGGATTGCATGCTAACATTTCCTAGTTTCTAATCTATTCCTTTACTTGCTTACACATTTTCTGATCTCTAATGTACTTAATAATGACATAAATATCAACTAATTTATTTTAAGAGGTAATTCATTGAATGCAGTACATTTCTAAACATTCTACGTCATCTTTGTATTAACACCTTAAAATTTAGAAAATCATAATAAAGCATGCAATTTTATATGAATAAAATCTTATAATATTTCTCTAATATTAAAATTACCAAATAGGACTTAATTCATTCACATTATTTTTAGTACCTTTGCTTGTCTTATTTGTGAACAATTTTCCAAGTAGTAAGTAAATATATTGGTGAGAAGTAGATAATTCTTTTGAACTTACACTAATTCAATTTAAAAATATATATATAGCTATTTTAAAATAGTACTTTTAAGAAAAAGTGTAATACTTTTGAAAACTGGTTTCCTTTAACTATTATTATTTCAAACTCTTTCCTATGTGTTTTATCAAGCTATAGGCAGTTAACTGTCATCTAAAGGAACATATTAAGAAGTATTTTATGTGTGGTGTACCTTTATTGTGTAATAGTATATAATTGTGCAAACATTTTTAAAGTGTTTCTAATTTGAACTTCCCTAAAAAGTATGTTTTGCTTTTTTCTAACTATAATTTAATTTTATTATAAAGTAAATGTAGAAATTAAACAGATCAAATACTTTAATATTAAAATATATTAAGTATAGTAATTATATGTGCTTATTAAGTTTATATATTATAAAATTAAATTTCAGTATGTCTCAATTTATGTCACTTTCAATTTAATGATTATTGAGACAATATGATTTGTTTGTACTTATAAACTTAAAGAAATGAATTTAATGTTCTATAATTTTCAATGTTTCCACCTGACATATTCTTTTTTAAATGATAATACTTGAAAGTAGCAAACAATTATGTCTAAATTGGAGGAAACCTTAAACATTCCTTAATTTGATAATAGTTTTAACAAAACAGTAATGGGTAGGTGCAAGCATGGAATATGCTCATATATTAAATAAAATCACACCCAAAATGAACTGAAAAGGCCTATTAAGTTTGTTTTTTAATATGCTTTTTTTGAAATCCTACTTCCAAATGAATAATTTGACATGGCTATAACTTTCCTGTACAAAGTGGGCTTAAACATATGAATATAGTATATAGCTTTTTGGTGAAGGCAAAAGCATTTATTCATTATTATAGAGAATGTGATTCATTCAATGCACCTTTATATACAGTATACAAAAACATAATACAAAACATAAGATTTAATACTGTACATACAAAAACATATATTGTTTTCTGTACAGTATTTACAAATGATGTAAGAATTGCTTTTGAAAATTTGCATAAGATAGATTTCTCTGTCTCCCTCCTTTTCTTTTTCCTTGTTTAACTACAGTTATTTTTCTTTATTTAAATCCCACTTACAGTTTGCAATGGAATGCAAATGAAACTGGCCCAGAGACATAAAAATGCAACATGTTGCATGAAAGCCCCAAATTTTTATTTTACATGTTATCATTATATTTTAGTATCTAAATTATACTAGTCTTCCCAAAATTTTTAGGTAAGTAAAACTATAATTACTCTATCTCAGTGTGAAAAGTCATTGATTATTGATTTACGAATAATCAACAGTTTATGCAAATAATAAGTGGTAAATGTCTTTGGGAAATAGCTTATGCTACATGGGTGAACATACAGAGACTGTTAAGGTCAAGATGTTTTGTGTATATTTTTGTCTTCATCACAGAATCTATTTATGTGTCTGAAAATTCTCTTTGAACAATATCTGTAAAAGTGGCATGCCAAGAATTTGAGTGATACTTTAATCTTTAATAATTTGCATTTTTTAAATGAAAATGTAGTGATATTTAGCTGGAGGACCAAACAACTTTCATAATCTTGTCTACCCCTAAACATTTTTGTACAAGTTTTATTGCCAATATAGTAGGAGAGGCTGCATCGTGCAAGGAAAAAATAGTCCTTTAAAAAAGATTGGGAACTTGTACCTGCATACCCCTTGGAAGGTCAGAAACAATGTGACTTCTGTTTTATTAACATTATGGTGTTGATAATACTATCTATGTTACACAATTACTGATATTATTATTATCTATTATATAAGCAAGAAATTATTAAAGAAGCTTTCACACAGTCTTGCATAAATAGCTATTAATACTGATATTATATCAATCACATAAAAAGTAACAGTGTTTTCTATTCTGTTTAGTGCAAGACTTATGCATGCGTGGTAGAAAGTCATCTAATGGGACTCACGATTGACTTTAGCACAGGATTTATCTGCTTTGATGCTGCAACAAAGGTAATGTGTTTGGGTCAGCTCTGAGAAGTGTGCTCTGGACATTTTAATTTAAGAATGATTGAAATAACTTCAAACACCTGTCAGCATTTTAATTGGTTAACCTGTGTTAAATTTAAGATTCTCATTTTTGTTAATAAAGTTAAATTATATTTTAATATCTTTATAAAAAACAAATGGTGGAAACAGGGGAAGGAGGTGGGGAGGACTGGGGTGGAGGGGAGGAGTGGGGGGAGAAAGGCAGAAAACTATACTTGAACAATAAAAAGTGTTAAAATTTTTTAAAAGATTTTATTTATTTTTAGAGTGGGAAGGGGGGGGGGAGAGAGAAACATCAATGTGCGGTTGCTGGGGGTTATAGCCTGCAACCCAGGCATGTACCCTGGCTGGGAATTGAACCTGCGACACTTTGGTTCACAGCCCGCACTCAATCCACTGAGCTATGCCAGCCACGGCTAAAAATGTTTTAAAAAATAAAATTTCAATATAACAGATATGTTGCCACAAAACATTAGAACCATATAAACTGCATATATATTATGTTTATATATATATATATATAGACAGAAGACCTAAAAAACAGAATTTACTCCTTAAAAATGGTGCATTTATTCTTACATATTTGAACTTCAGTCACCTTCAAAATACTTTCCATTTGATACAATACACTTTATTGAGATATTTTTCCTACTGCTCAAAATTGTTTTTGAACTTGTTGATTTTGATGCCTTTTAGTGCCTCTGCTGTTTTTTGTTTCACTTCTTCCACATCAGCAAAATATTTCTGTTTGAGGACTTTTTTTTATCAGAGGAACATAAAAAAGTCGATTGGGGCAAAATTGGGTGAATAGGGAGAGTGGGGCATAGGGATCATGCCATTTTTTGCTCAAAAACTGCTCAACACTCTGAGTGGTGTGGGTGGGTGCACTTGTAATTCACTCATCATGAAACGGGAAATGCATTGAAAGAATCTTCAAAAAAAAATTCACTGAAGCCAAAGGCAGCCTCTGACAACAATGCCAACTGGTACAGAAGCACAGATAGGTTCCTAGAATACTCACATTTAAGGGAAGCATGTACCTCCAGTGGCCTGCCCTCCAGAAGATAATTCCATTTTGGGAGAGTCCCCCCTCATATACATATATGTTCATTTTTCTCTTTTCCTAAAGGTATGACATCATATTGAGGGGAAATTTTCTTTCTCAAAACTTTTTTAAGCAAAATGTTCTTTTGATTATTTTCTTCATCAGCATCTCTAATATGAAAGTAGATAAATCATATTTTTTTATTTTTATAAGTAATATATTAGAATTATAAAATGGAGGAATTTGAGTATTTGAAGTTTCTAGCCAGGGCATATAATCCTTGTAAATATTTAACTTCATAAGTTCTTACACTATCTGATTGGGTGCCCTTTCCATAAAGGTTATGGCTCTGGGAGTTATATGTACTGAGTGATGAAGGGTACTTTCTCAGCCAGTCATGTCTAAAACATTTTAAAGCTCAACTGACCCCCTCCCCACCACTCATATCCTATCTCACACAGTACTGCAGTCATTGCTGCATTTTGTGATCCGGGCTGTGGTCCCCAACAGAAACTATTCGATTTCTTCCCATAATGACATCATTTCTTTAGATTCACTCCATTTTCTCCTTTATCAAAGTGTGGTCTCAGAAATAAACTGATGTATTCCTTCTCACTAAGTTTAAGGATTGAGGGTAATTCTTTACTGGCAAACATATTTTACCTAGAAATTAAGCCTTGTATAGGATTTTCAAAAACAGATGCAAATAAAATGTGACAGTAATATAAATATGTGAGAAAGACAGAGTGTATAGACAATGGGATTATTTTGATCTTGGGAAAATGGAATTCTAGTGACACATCCAGTTGTTCACAGCCAAGTAAGATGTGGGTTGATGTTTGGAGATCTTATGATTTTTGTAACTAAGCAACCAAAATTGTCACACAAAATCTCACATTATTTAAAGATGGCCAATGTTTCTTTTTATTTTGAAATTGTAAAGTTAATAAATAGCACACATATGCTGGTCAGATTTGATTGTCCAGCGTGTTGCCTTTGCCTAATGACAAAAATTTCTTCTCTGAATATGGAATTTCAGATGCCAACAGCTCCTTCAATAACTTTCATATGAGACTTATATAAACTCTTTGTATAAACTAAAGTCTCTCCCTCTCCCCCCCATATATGTGTGTGTATGTAATACTTTTCAAGTCAGCACAGACTCATGAGTATTAAATCAGTTTAATTTAATAATTTAATTATCAACCAAATTCATATGTATTTATTAATATAAGTAATTTTAAAAATAAATTAATATGATCAGAGAAAAAAGTTGAAGTCTGATTTTTAAAAAAGGAAATAGTATTGCCACAATTGCCACCAAACCCTATCACATGGTGAAAAAATATATTTTTTATACTAGTAGAGAAGAGGGAAACACAATTCATCTGAACAAATTTTTGAAAGCCTGAATCTATTCTGAGCTTCTCTTTAAGTTGTATTTAATAATGATATGGATCGTCTACACAACATGTGTACAGCTTCTTGCTTGGGTGTGCTGGGCAGGAGGGATTAGTCAGGAGAAGCTAAGCAAATTGTAATGATACCATCCAGGGTAAACTATTAAGTAGGATATGAGATTTTAGTCAGTGCGAGTCTGACCCACAAGAAAAACCCAAGACCTTCAGGAGTAGTAATCATTATCCTTCCATTTCTGACTGCTGTTGGAAGTATCTAACTTCAAGTAAATTAGATATTTGGGAAGGATGGAAAATAATCTATACACATTATAATTAAGAGAGCATCATTGCTAAAACTGTGCCACTTGGAGCATGAAAGGGAGAGCTATTACTAATTATGCCAGCACAACTGGCCAAGACCGGGAGAGCCATGGGCAAACCACCGCACTGTTCTTACTGCAAAAAGGTGGTGTCACCACATGCAGTGAGTCCAGAACTTATTTTCAAATACAAAAAAGGCCATTGTTACATGTAAATTAAAATGTTTCATTCTAATAATTTATTAAAATAATTCAATAAAATTTAGTTATTTTTTCTCCATATGTGTGCGTAAAGAATCTTTAAGGATGAATCCAGCAGATTTTTAAAATGTTTGAATGCTAGAGTTTATGGCAATGATACTACTCATATCCTCTCGGTGTACACATTTTGTCTTTGTGCTCTGCATCTTGATCAGGCTTTGAAGTGACTGCAAACAAACTGATGTTCTTATGATAAAGTACAGATTCCAGGAAAAAAGAGAATGGTGTTCTAAATGGCTAACAGACAGTGACCAGAGGGGAGAGAAGAGGGAATTTCAGGGGAGAGCAGGAAGGGTTTACAGGAACAAATTTAAAGGACATATGGACAAAAACTAGGGGGAGGGTGGTAATGGGGAGGGTTGGGTCGGTGGGCTGGATTGGAAGTCAAAGGGAGAACCTGTACTTGAACAATGATTGAAAAAATAATAATAATAAAGCTGTTTAAAAATAAAATAAATAAAAATAATAATACTTCACTGTTTACACAGCACAAAGGGGAGAATTGACACATTAATGTATTTTAAAACCCCTTTTTCATACTTATAATAAATTTTCAAAAAACAAAATAAACAATAATAAAAAACTAAAGTAAAAGATCAGATCAGGAACTTTTATGGCTGGAAATGAGAGTCAGCATGATTTTAGATTGTTTTAAAATGCTGCAGGTTTGGGAGCAGTGAGATGTCTGGAAATGTCAAGTCGGTTCTCATTATTTATTACTTACGCATGAAAGTCCCCAGAGAAAACCATTCTGAATTCCCCAGAGAGTATAAGACACATGGAATAGCATTGTATTCCACAAATGTCACTTTACATTAGCAACATAGCAATAGGTTATACATTCTTTTTTTTCCCTTTGGTGTTGCTGTGTTGTCATATACAACACAGCTTGATCTCTGTAATCTTCATTTTTATGAAAAAGCAGCCTTTCCAATGTTAGAGAAAGGTTTTCTCACTAATGTGTGAAAGTATGATATTGAATACTTACAGGAGGTCAGTCCACAAGGCATCCAGCTATATAATATGAACAATGCAGCCATTTATTGAAGAAAATACAAGATAAAGGAAACATTGTACATAGGACAATGATGCCCCAGTCCCCTTCAAAGTAGGCACCTTGGGACCTCAAACAGTTCTCCCAATCACCATCAGCTGCCCCGTCCTATTTTTCTGAATCTCATAGATGATATGAAATCTCTTCCCTTTCAAAGGTGATTTAGCTTTGGGAGAAGCCAGAAGTCACAGGGCTCCAAATCTGGGTTGTATGAGAGCTCAGTCACCTGGGTGATGTGATGTTTCACCAAATAACTCCGCCATAGAGGTGATGCATGAGGGGGCATGTTGTCATGCTGAAGCTGTCCGTTGCCCACAGCTGTAGCCTTCTGAATTATCCGAATAGTTTCCTGAATAGTTTTTGTGAAGAAATGTTCAAGCTTAATGCAAAATTGGATGCAGATTGGTTGCCTTACTTATGCTCAGTTATTTTTAATGTGAAGGCCACACAGTACACATGCTCATTCAACAGCATCTACCACTTCCACTGGCTAGTACAGAGAAGTCATTGTTCACACATGCACATTCCAGTCTACTCTCCTTGGCTGCCAGGTTACAATGATGTCATGCAAACTGTTCTCACTATATTAACAATGGCCAGACTTTTTCCAGACATATCTTGTATAATTCTCATATCTTAAACTATAGATTTGTTTCCATTAAATTAATTTAAAATGCAAATGTGCATTAAGTAATTATAGATAATAGATTTCCGTGTAAACAGAGACTTTAAGAGTAATAGTTTCAAATATTTACTGAAAATTTGCTGTCTGTAGAGGGGCACAGAAGGGGTACACGTTAGTCTTGGGTGTTCAAGGAATGCTTCACAGAAATTGAGATACTAAGGGTAAGATTTTCCAAATATTTGTCAGTAAAGAAGGACAT